CACCACACCCTATTGAAGTACTTCAATTTTCAAATCTTGACCATTAACTTATTTTTGAGACAGGGTCTCAGGAAGTCTAGACTTGGCATGAGTTTCAGATCCTCTGGGGCCACCTCTCCAGTGCTGAATTAGATACTCACTGTCATGCCCGACTCTTATCCAGGAATCCACATCATTGGAAAACGCTGCAGTCAGTCCACTTAGAGGGCCAGCATCACTGCCATCCGTATTAACAGGGACAGCAAAGTCCTTACTACCTCCGTTTTCTCAGCACTTAGAAGGAACTGCCCTTCTTGCCCTCCTTTGGCCCCCAGTGGGGTTTTGAAAACCGAAGGAAACAGACCACCTGCAATGGCACTGCTGACTGCCTAGACTGTTGTCCCCAGGGCAGCGCTTCCTAAAAATCCTGTGACTTCCAGAAGCTGCAGCAGAAGCTGAAGTCAACAAGCCTTTGTGAGCTTCAGGCAGTAAAGACTATTATCTTTTGCTTTGCCATTTTTGTTTGTTTTATTTTGTTTTTGTGGGAGTTTTTTTGTGGGGTTTTGTTGTTGTTATTGTTGTTGTTGTTTGAGATAGGGTTTCCCAGTAGCTATGGAGCCTGTCTTGGAACTCACTCTATAGACCAGGCTGGCCTCAAACTCACAAAGATCTATCTGCCTCTGCCTCCTGAGTGCTGGGATTAAAGGCGTGCACCACCATCTTGGCTGCTTTGTCATTTTTAAGACCATACCCCACACTGCTGAAGCAGCTGGATAAAGCCTGAAGCCCACCAGTGGGTCTGCATCCCCTTGGTCAGTAGGTATAGCTGAAAGTAGCCCGTTATCTCCTAGCCTCTGGCCTCTGGCTCCTAGCAGTGAGCCCACCGGTGCCTTCTCACTGCTAACTTCTGACTGAAGTTCCTACCACACTGAGGGACGGGGCAGAAGACCTGACACTGTGGATCTGATTGTGGGCTGCCAGCTCTGAGTTCTGGTGGAAGCAGCAAGCAGAGCAGCAGGGCTTCTCCCTGGTACGGACACACAGTTGAGTGACGAGGGCAGTGTTTAACTACAGCTGGCTTGCAGTTTCAGAGGTTTAGTCCCTTGTCAGCATGGCAGGAAGCTTGGCGGCACACAGGCGGACACGGGCTGCTGAAGGAACTGAAAGAGCTTCATCCCGATCTATAGGCAACAAGCAGAGAGAATGAGCCAGTGGGCCGGGATTGAGCATCTCAAACTGCAAAGCCCGCCCTGAGTGATGCTCTTCCTCCAACAAGGCCACACCTCCTCATGAGCCTGGGGAGAGGGCATTTTCCCACCACAGTAATGATCCCCAAGAGGCAAGAAAGCAGTTTGGTTCAACACAACTCAGCAGCCAGTGTTGGTCCAAACTTGAATAGTCTGAGCCAGAGTAGTTTATTTTAGGCATAGTAAAGCACAGCACAACTCCGTGAAAACTTTCCTGGCGATAAATAACTCAATCCCACATGCACGATAAAGCTTAAGACATGACCACGTTCAAACTTTGTAAAGGACGTGTGACATCTTCCATAAAGATGGGTTTTATTGATTGACAAGCTCACAATAAGGTCCGGGGGAGGATCGGGTGTGGTCTCAGTCACACAGACAGCACAGCTCACCAGGCTACTAACCACATCCGCTACAGTATCTGGAAAGAGGGGACCCCAGCTGAGGAAATGACTCCTCAGATTGGCCTGTGGGTGACACTTTGGGGGCGTTTCGTTGGATAATGACTGGTGTGGGAGGGCTCAGTTCTAACCTTAACCTGCAGGTCACAAACGGCGCTCAAGGGGAGGACCAGGGATAAGAAGTAAGTAAGATGAGAAATAAAGAAGATAAAAGCAAAAGCTGGGACAGGAGGTCTTACGTAGGCTGATGGCTTATGCCAAGCAAGTTTATTAAGAAGTATAACATTGGCAGATGTGGTGGTGCACACCTTTAATCTCAGCACTCGGGAGGCAGAGGCAGGCAGATCTCTGCGAGTTTGAGGCCAGCCTGGTCTACAGAGTGAGTTCCTGGACAGCAGAGCTGTTACACAGAGAAACCCTATCTTGAAGAAAAACGTATAGCATCATATATACTATTTGTGCAGGGATGGGGGGGAGGGAGACAGCCAAGGTCAGCAGAGAGCTAAGTCAGACAGTATTGGCAAAGAGAACATAGGATATACCTCAGACACATCTGCCTAGGGACTGATAACCACAGCCTAGGGAGAAAATTCAGGCTCCCAGAAGCTGCTACTTTGACACCTTCTAATCACTGTCTCCAGCCTCAGACTGGCCTTGCCAAGTCTGTTCCTGGACAAGGGCACAGAGCTAAAGTCCCCTTTGTCCTTTCATCAGGGCCTCTGAGAAAGTCCTGGGTCGGTCCAGTTCTCCACTGTGAGTGGTGCAAACCCGGAGCAGGTGGCCTTGGGTGGAATAGGAAAGCAAGCTGAACAAGACACGGAGAACAAGACTGTAAACCGGCTTCCTCTGGGGCCTCTGCTTCAGTTCCTGTCTACCCTGAGTTCCCTTCATGATGAACCATGATGAACTTAAGTAAGCTGTAAGGGGCTCAAGCTGCCTTTGGTCACAGTGTTTATCACAGCAAGGGAAATAGAGCAGACTATTGGCCATCATTCTCCCCGAGCAGCCTGGACGGCACCTCTCTGCACCACGGGAGCTAGCCAGCAGGAAGATCTGTCCCAGCCTCAGTCTCTCCCTCCCACTCAACCCCATCTTTATCAGACCCTAAAAATGAGGTTGCCGGGGCTGGAGAGATGGCTCAGTGGTTAAGAGCGCTGTCTGCTCTTCCAGAGGTCCTGAGTTCAATTCCCAACAACCACATGGTGGCTCCAAACCATCTGTAGTGAGATCTGGTGCCCTCCTCTGGCGTTTGGGTATACATGGAGGCAGAAAGTTGTATACATAATAAATAAATATATCTAAAAAAAATGAGGTTGCCGGACACCCTGGGACCTTAAACATTTGGCATCCATGTGCACAAAATGTAATTCCTGGACTGCGAGTAGATTAAGGTCTCTAGGGTATGAAAAGCCACACCGCTGGTAAGGACCTTAAAGGCTGAAACATTGATTAGAAAGAACTTAGCTCCTGCTGTCAGGCACAGGGGGCTGAATTACCCTATGCTATTTCTAGTTGCTTAAGTAGCTGTTCATTGATCATGCCTGTGCCGGACCTAACATCTTTTTCACTACCAAAACCTTTAAAAGAGGGACTGGAGAGATGGCCTTGTGGTTAAGAGCACTGACTGCTCTTCCAGATGGACCCGGGTCCAATTCCCAGCACCCACAAGGCAGTCCACAACTGTCTGGAACTCCAGTTTCAGGGGCTCTGACACCGTCACATATGCAGGCAAGACATAAATGCACATAACATAAAAATAAATAAGTCATCAAAAAGCTTAAGATGTTTCCAACTTCAGTTAAGATGAGGTTTTTCTTCTTTCTTCTGTCCAGGCGGTGTTGTGTTACACACATTGTTTTTGTGCCCAGCATTGGCAGCATCCCAGAGACCCTGCTTGGTTGTGACCTTTATTTATTTATTTCCTTTCTTAGATCTCCTCCCCTTCCTTTCCTTATTTGAGACAGGTCCCAGAACTCGGGTGACAGAGGCAGGAGGATCTCCTGGTCTACAAAGTGAGTTCCAGTACAGCCATGGCAGTTACACAGAACAGCCCTGTTTTAAGAAACTGAAAAAAAAAGAAAGCTTGTTAACCACATGCTGTGTAGAAGTTTCCTCCAGTATTGAGACATTCCACCCTGCAGGAAAGATCGTAAGTAGGAAGGTCTAGGATTCGAACTCAGATCCTCATGCTTATTTGAGAAGCAGTCTTACCACTAAACTATCTTCCTAGTCCCCGCCCCCTTTTTTAGATAAAGTCTCATTTAGCCCAAGCCTCTAACTCTCTTTGTAACTGAAGCTAACTGTATTTTTATTTTGTTTTGAATTGGATTTAGTAATTTATTTTATGCGTAAGTGGTTTTGCTTGCATGTATGTGTACCAAGTGCATGCGTGGTGCCCAAGGAGGTCAAAAGAAGGCATCAGATCCCCTGGAATGAGAGTTACAGATTGTTATGAACCATATTAGGGGTGTTGGGAATTGAGTCTGGGTCTTGTGCAAGAACAACAGGTGTTCTTGACTTCTGAGCCATCTCTCTAGCCCCTGGCCTCAAATTCTTGACCCTCCTGCCTGGGACCTCCTAAGTGCTGAGCTGAGAGGTGTGTGTTGCCATATCAACATCGAGGGTGGTTGTCATTGACCTTAATCTTACATGTTTTCTTTCTATGTTAAGTCAACAGCCTTCATCTCCTTGTTTAAAGCAAACACTCTACAGCTTCTGTCTGGCATATGAGTTGCCAACATCGTTACCCTGGGCTTTAGGGTCATTAATCAGTAAGATGAAAATTAGCTGCAATCCCATGGAGGTTGATCCGATAGCATAACTGAGCTCATGGCTAAGAGAGTAACGAGCAGATAGAATATGCTCTGGGAACTCACTGCACAGAGCCCTGACTCAGATCTTGATGCCATAGCGTTTGCCGTGGGGACTCCGCAGGAGCCCTACAAGCATCCTCATAACATCCATTATCATTCCTTGATCTCTCCGTTATGTAATATGGAATGGGCAAGAATGCGGGCAAACAAGATAATAAAATCAAGAAGAGAATCCAGTACTGGCTAGAGAAAGATAATACAGCCTTTGGCCTCTAACTCACAGATATCTGCCTGCCTTTGCCTCTGGGTGCTGGGACTAAAGGCGGGCGCCACCACACCCAGCAGATTTTTCCTTTTTGTTATGCCAGGGCCACTCACACGCTGAGAAGGGTTTAATACAGAGCCACAACTCCGGCTCCAAATGACTGACTTCATTGCGACAGGTCTCATTCTGTAGTGCACATTGTCCTTGAGTTCAAATCCTCCTGCCTCAGCCTTCCCAGTGCTGAAACCAGACTCCATCACATCCTGGTTAAATGAACAATTTATTTTTATTTATTTCTTGAGTATTTTGCTTGTAGGTAAGTATGTGCACCAGGAGTGTGCCTTGTGCTCTCAGAGGTCAGATGAGAGCACTGAAACTGGAGTTGTGGATGGTAGTGAGCCACCATGTGGGTGCTGGGAATCGAACCCAGGTCCTCTGCAAGAATCATCTCGCCAGCCCTTGAAGTGAGTGGCTTCACATTAAAGAGATACAAACCCAGGCTGAGGACACTTGGTCATACAATGCAGAGCCCATGGGGCCCAGGGTACAATCCTCAGCACACGCACACAAAATAACCAATATATCGATAGGACTTGCATCATAACTCCAGGCTTCAATTTTGGAAAGTGTATAATACAAATAATAGTGACTATGTGTGGTTTGCAATGATTAAAAAAGTGTTTTATAAAATAACATTCTCAGGTGCCAAAAAATAAGTTTTTAAAATTGTAAGTTTAGGTTGTCTAGATGACTCTGCCGGTAAATGAGCTTGCTCTGCACCCCTGATGGCATGAACTTGATACAGCATCTATAGAAGAGAACAACTCTCCAAAACTGCCCAGTGTGGGATGTCCTTCTGTATAAGTGTTGCCTTTATTGATTAATGAATAAAGCTATTTTGAACAATCGCTTAGCAGAGTAAAGCCAGGCAGGAAATAGCGAGAGAGTAGATGGAGCCAGAGAGACGCCATGTAGCTGCCGAAGGAGGACACACGGGAACCTTAGGAACCTACCGGTAGACCACAAACTTGTGGCGATACACAAATTGATAAAAATGGGTTAATTTAAGATGTAAGAGCTAGCTAGGAATACGCATGAATATTGGCCAAACAGTGTTATAATCAACATAGTATCTGTGTGATTATCCGGGTCTGGGCGGCCGGGAAACTGTCCTGACATCCACATGTATAAACATACAATAGTAATGATAGAGTGTGAAAGCATATCTGAGGGTATGTGAGTGCCGTGTGTGTGGGTGTGTGCGCGTATGTGACCTCAGGCACCATGCTCAGGAGCTGCCTTCTCCGAGACAGTGTCTCCCATTGTTCTGGAGCTCACCAGTTAGGCTGGCCGGGCTTGGTGCTATGCTCCAGGGACACTCCATCTGCTACCCAGCTTTGATATATAGGGCTGCTGGGGGTGAATTTGGTTCCTCCAGATTTAGAAAGTACTTTACCGGCAACTATCTTCCCAAGCCCTCCCCTTTTTCTGTTGTTTTAGCTATTATTATTTTTAATTACGTGTAAGTCTGTGTATGTGAGTACAAGTACCTGCAGAGGCTCTGGCCTGGAGTGAGGGTTACAGGCAAATATGAGCCACTGGGCATGTTTCTGGAATTGAACTCAGTTCCTCTGGATGAGTAATATGTACAGACATGTTTTGGGACCAAAGCCCAGATAGCGTTGAATTTGTGACCCTCTGGCCACAGACCCCCAGGACTTGGCTCACAGGTCCTCCTGGCAGGAACTCATCATTGCTAAGATGAGCTAGCAGGGGTGAAGCTAACATTCCGCTTAGTCTCAGCTGCCAGGAAGCTAGGGGAGAAGAATCTTCTGAGCTTGGGTTTTCAGGGCAATAGATACAGAGATGTCTCTTAAAAGGTGTGCTAAGGAGGCCACTCACAGGATAACACCACTTGCTGTTCTTCCAGAGAACCAGAGTTCGGGTCCCAGCACCCACATCAGGCAGCTCACAGTTGCCTGTAGCTCCAGTTGCACGGGACTCAATGCCCTCTTCTGGCCCCTACAGGCATCTGCACATACATGTGCATATGTGCACGGATATACACATTTTAAAAAGACTGTGAACCCGACGGCCTCACCGTTTGATCTTGGGCAGGTTGTTTTGCCTGCTGTAATCTGTCTTTGACGTAAGGGAACAGAAGAGCTAAAACTTCCTCCAGCTCAAACAGGTGAGGAGACCCCTACCTGTGTCTAAGAGTGGCTACAAAGGCCCAGCCCAAGGTGTTCCCAGACTGGACAAAGCTTTCATGTCCTTTCTCTCCAGATTCAGGAGCTGTTGGCCTCGCCTGGGTCGGCATCAGATTGGTGGTGAGGGCAGCGTGAACACGGCAAAGTGCCCAGTTGGTGTAGGGTCAGATAACTGGCCCCTAGCGCCCCTTCCTGAGGAGGTTTCTTCTTCCAACTGCTTCCTTCCCCAGGCAGTTAGGGGAGGTAAACAAGACGACAGGCAAGAAAGTACTTTGAGAGCCACAGGTGAGAGCTGAAATAAAGCTTGCGAGCTGTGTCTGTTTCCCCTCTTCTGCCATCCAATTATACACAAACTCTTTGGTTCAGAAAAAACTAAATACCACCAACTTTCAAGAACTGTCTTCTCTCCCTCCACCACTGAAATCTGGTCATGGGAGTTGCAACCCTTACCCGCTGGGCCTCCCCTCACACGTGTGTGTGTGTGTGTGTGTGTGTGTGTGTGTGTGTGTGTGTGTGTGACTGAGGGCAGCCTTGAACTTCTGAACCTCCTGCCTCCAAACACCAAGTGGGAATTATAGGCATGTGACACCACGCCCAATACTTGCAGTGCCGGGGACAGAACCCAGAACTTCTGCCTTGTTTGCTTGACTGAATCTTTTGGAGTTGTTGTTGTTGTTGTTTTTCCAAAAGAAGCTAAAGACCTGGACCTTCTTTAGTGTGTGAAATACTTTGAATTTAAACCTCAATTAATTCCACTTGTTCTTTATTTACCTTAGATGGAGTCTCAGGTAACCCAAGCTGGTCTCAAGTTCCTGACCTTCCTGTCTCTACTCTGAAGTGCTGGGGTCATAGGCATGAGCCACCGCACGCAGCTCTTGACCGAGGCTAATCGCCCCTGAAAATGCAGCTGGCTCGGTTCACACAGAGCCATCAACTTCAGCCTCCGCATTAAAGAGGCAGTGGCCTAAACAAGATTCTCTTCAACCTCAAGCCTGTCAATACTTCTGAAAACTGCCCTTGCCTCTCACATGGAGCTCTAGTGGGTTTCCCACTCTGGCCCAGTAGACTCAGAGCCTAGGGCAGTGGGATCAGTGTGTGTGTGCAAACGCTTCTGGTAATCACCCACAAGACTGTACTCTGTCCCCAGGACCGGCCCTTGCTAGAACTTCTGTGACTTCCGGAGGATGCCAGAGATTCAAGCCTCTGAGCTTCCGACAGTGTGTGTATTTCACCTTCTATGTTGGAGCTCTTAAGACCATTCCCCGCACTCCTGGATTATCTCTGGGTAGTGCCTGAAGTCCACAGGCGGATCCAGCTCCCCTCGGCCTGTGGCCGGGGATATAGATAACTGACTAGCTTCTCCGTCCCTATGGCCCCTAGCTCCTGGCCGATGGACCCACTGATGCTTCGCCACTGCGGACTTCTGGCCAAAGCACCTGCCACACTGAGGGCACGGGTAGGGACGCTCGCCACTGTGGGTCCGCCTGTGGGCTGCCATTTCAGAGCTCTGGCGGAAGCAGCGTCCACAGTCAGGGCATGAGTAAGGCTTTTCACCCGTGTGGGTGCGCACATGGCGCCGAAGATCTGACGCATGGGCAAAGGCTCTGCCACAGTCTGTGCAAGGAAAGGGGGTCATGCCGCTGTGTACCCGCTGGTGCTGATGGAGCGCAGAGCTCTGGCTGAAGCAGCGCCCACAATCAGCACAGCGGTAGGGCTTCTCCCCAGTGTGGACACGCAGATGGGTGGTGAGGGCAGAGCGCTGCGTGAAGGCCCGGCCACATTCAGGACAGCGATGTGGCCGTTCCCCTCGGTGTATGGCCCGGTGCTTGCTCAGGGAGGAAGCTCGACCGAAGGGCTTGCTGCAATCAGGGCAACGGAACGGCTTTTCACCAGTGTGGGTGTACAGGTGCTCCACCAATGTGGACCGCCAGGCAAAACTCTTCCCACACACACGGCAGCCATGACGCTGATCTGCTCTTGGGACAGTGGCGTGGACACCAAGAGGGGGGTGAGGGTCCTTGGGCAACAGCTCCAAGTTGCGAAGGGGTCCAATAATTGGCCCAGCTTGTGTAGATAACGTCTTCTGGGTTGCCTCAGTCTCTTCCCTTGGTCTCTTCCCTTCCTCCTGTCTGCAATCTGCTCGGAGACCAAGAAAAAGCTCAGAATCTGAGGCATGCCGCTCCCTGATTTCCACACCCCCACAAGGTGACAGACAGGGCACTGGAGGGGAGAGGCCACAGAATCTGAGCATGCAGGCTGCGTGGATGTCCGGAGGCAGCATAAAGAGAGGCATCAGTGTGGTCCCCAATCCCAAGTCCAGCGGGCCGAGCACTTGGCAGAGGTGGACAGGAAGAACTGAAGGAGCCTCCAGAAGGGAACCAAGTGATGGCAGCAGGACAGCCGTGGAGACACAGGGCTCCGATCAACATAGCCTAGTGACCGACTAGATTCACGGTACAGGCACAATCACAGTCCCTTTCTAGGTGAATCCAGGGGTAAGCGTAATGACTTTGGCCACGAAAACAGTTCAGGGAAGAAACTGCCAAGCAGGTAAGTGAAGTCACCAGAAGACACCATAATGGGCCGGCTACTGAGAAGTCCCCCAAAGACGGAGTACCCAGTCCTTCACCTGAGTCGGCTTCTGTCGGACACATGGCCACCTCTGGATCCTGGGCACCGGGTCCCCACAGTTCGGCCTCTTCCTCCACCCAGGAGATGAGCGCTGGCTTGGCGCCTCCGCATCCTGAAGGGAAAGAAAGCAAACCCCACGATGCGGGTAGGCCAACCCCCTTGGTCTCGGCCTCCTGTTCCCAGGGCTCCCCGTTCCACGGCTGGACCCACGGTGTCACGCGCGGGGCGAGCCCAGAGACCAGGAAAGGCTCTCACCGAGCGCCCGCAGGAGACCGTAGGTCTCGCTCATCACCTCCCGGTACAGGGCTCTCTGAGCCGGCCGCAGACACCCCCACTCCTCGGGGGAGAAGTACACGGCCACGTCCGAGAAGCTCACCGCCCCGGGCTTCCCGAATGCGGCCCGAGCCGAGGACCTTCCCGGGGCAAGTGGCTGCGCCATGGGGACCCTCCCCCGGCTCGGCCCCGGGCCAGTCCAGAGCACCCGGGAACGCCTGCCCAGCCCCAGGTGTCCGCGCTCGGATACCAGGGCCGAGAAGGGACAGAAACCAGTTCCGTGCGCACCCTAATGTAGGTAAAATTTGAAAACTGAAAGTGGCAGGTACATAATCAGGACTTGAGGTTGCCTGTATAAAAATGGTGGCAGAGGGGTCTCACGAGCTAGGCTCCCTAGCGGTTGTGCCCAGGTTACGTCACCGGTCTTTCTAGGTCATTGTCTTCTAGCCCTCATCCAAAATGGCCACAGAGTCTACCAGTGCCAGTCTGAGAACAAGTCCCAGGCGAGAGGCCCCCATGTGGGCGGGGACTTCCCTGTCAAGATGCAGCGGGGCGTGGTGCTGACTTCTGGGGACCCGCAGCTCTCTCAAGGTCGGCTAGGTGGAAACGGCCTGTGAATGGGTGTTTAGTTTTTTGCTTCTGGACAGTGTATTATGGAGCCGGAAGCCTGTGGAGGGACGGGCATTAATAAGAAGGCAGAAAATGAAGCGGGCCCTCAATTAGGGGGTTTCCACCAGCGTGGTATACAAATCTCAAACTAGTTGAGGAATACCACTCCTGACAGATCAGAGATCTCGGAGCTGTTCTTTGAACAACCGGGACACCTGGGACATTCACAATGGCTCACTTCTAATCTTCTAAATGTCCACCTGCCCATCCAGACTTCAATCCCACGAGGGAATTACCCGTCGGTGGTTTCTGGGCTGTTTGTGAGATTCCCATCAAATATCCATCCAAAAGAGGAATGAGGCCCTACTTATGGTCATATACATTCAGGTTTTGAGCCTCATTCATTGCTATTTTAATATAAAATACCTATCTATGAACGGAATATTATCTCCATGTTGGCATCATTCACAGCAAACGTTAGTGTGCCGGAATTCTTGCTCCTGAGCTGGGGAGAGGCTTCAGCCAGACTTCAGGACAAGGGGCTCTTTTCCCTTCCCATGAACCCATAATTGTCCCGACTGTCTATCGTGCCTCACTGCAAATCTGTTGGATCAAGATGAGGCTTCTGCTCACTGAGTCTATACTAAGCTGAAAGAGCAGATGTGAATCCCCTCGGCGCAGAGTGACCAGATCTTCGGCAGACTGTGTTGAGGTCTGTGTGACAGACGAAGCTTCCTCCGGCTCTAGGAGGCCACTAGCGGTGAGCCCCAAGCACGAGATAGCTCAGAATGTGAACCAGATCATCCCAAGCCCTCCTGGCTCTTTCGCTTCAGTTGGATGATCTGACGTTGTTATTCTGCCACCCGCATCTTTGCCAGCTGGACATCTGACAGTGTGTCACTATCCTGAATCTCACAAATGACCCATTCAAACTATGGGCATGGCATCTGAACAGAGGGCTCTCAGGAGAAGAAATAGAAACAGCTCAGAAAGTGTTCATTGTCCCTAGCCATTACAGAAATGCAAATCAAAACAACTTTGAGATTTCATCTCACCCCAGTCAGAACTGCAAAAATCAAGAAAACAACAGACACAAATGCGGGAAAACACACAGGGAAAGGGGGCTCCTTCAGTGCCAATGTGGTTGCGAACGGGTCCCGTCCCTCTGGAAACCGCCGAGAGCCTGGTCATAAATCTACCGTAGGACTCAGCTCTATTTTAGGTGTGAACCACCATACCTGGTGCTTCCTCAGCATTGTTTATTGAAAGTGGAAACAATCCAAATGTCCTTCAATTTAGAAATGGATGATGGGACCAGGTGATGGTGGCGCACGCCTTCAATCCCAGCAGTTGGGAGGCAGAGACAGGTGGATCTCTGTGAGTTCAGGGCCAGCCTGGTCTCCAGAATGAGTTCCAGAACAGCTGGGGCTACACAATGAAACTTTGTCTCAACAAACAAACAAACGAACAAAAACAGAATGAGATGGACAATGATGTACTTTGTAAAGTCGCTCAATTGTATCAAGAAGCAGAAAGATGGGGCTGGAGAGATGGCTCAGTGGTTAAGAGCTTTGCCTGCTCTTCCAAAGGTCCTGAGTTCAATTCCCAGCAACCACATGGTGGCTCACAACCATCTGTTATGAGATCTGGTGCCCTCTTCTGGCCTGCAGACATACACATGGACAGAATATTGTATACATAATAAATAAATAAATATTTTTTTAAAAAAGAAGCAGAAAGACAACCATGACACGTTTTCTCTTTTCTGAGGTTCCTAGCTCCAAATCATCTGATGTGAGCTTATAACCTGGAATAACTAACTACACAAACCAGGAAAGTAAGAAGGGGCCATTGTTGGGGTTGGGGAACAATAGAGAGGGGAATTAGCAGGGTACAAGAGAGGAAGTGGGGAAAATAGGAGAGGGCTCTAATCAGGGAGGGGAGAGGGAGATAAAACAGGAGGGGGTAAGATAACAGTAAGGATATCTGAAAAAGTCATGAGAAATCATAGAATAACTATTGACTTAAAATGCCTATAATACATGTAAGACGTGTCTATATCTGTGTGTATAGTTTAGATGAAACTTTCTCATCGGGGCTGACTATGCTTTCCTGCAAGAGTCACGGACATCTAACAAAGCCCCCACCATCCGTGCGCAGCCCGCTTCTGAGTTGTTGAACAGGGTTGTCCCAAAGACTCCAAAAACATTATAAGCTAATTTTGTTGCCCTTGGTTGCCCCCTAGAGGTAGAAGATAAGTCCCTATTGCTGAAACACTCGGATTGCATTGCACTTCAAACACAGGATCCAGAGGACCCAAACTGGATCTGACTTGAAAGTCTCCCTGAGGACTTCATTTCAAGATACCAGAAAGATTCCAGATTGTGGTGGCAAATACCTTTAATCCCAGCACTCGGGAGGCGGAAGCAGGTGGATTTCTGTGAGTGTGAGGCTATCCTGATCTACAGAATGAGTTCCAGGACAGTCAAGACTACACAGAGAAACCCTGTCTTGAAAAACAATAAAGAAAAGAAAAGAGGGGCCGGGGAGATGCCTCAGAGGTTAAGAGCACTGGCTGCTCTTCCAGAGGTCCTGAGTTCAATTCCCAGCAACCACATGGTGGCTCACAACCATCTGTAATGAGATCTGGCGCCCTGCTCTGGCATGCGGGCATACATCGAGGCAGAATGTTGTATATATAATAAATAAATAAATCTTTTTTAAAAAAGAAAAGATACTTCAATAATAAAATCCACCCAACATGTGGGGGCTAGAGAGATGGCTCAGTGGTTAAGAGCATTGCCTGCTCTTCCAAAGGTTCTGAGTTCAATTCCCAGCAACCACATGGTGGCTCACAACCATCTGTAATGAGGTCTGGTGCCCTCTTCTGGCCTGCAGACATACATGCAGACAGATTATTGTATACATAATAAATAAATAAATCCACCCATCACAGAGCATATTTCTCGCTATCAAATTCCCAGAATCTACAGATTAGAACTCCATACAACTTAATTCAAAGGTATTAAATACATGATATCAGAAAGTACCATGCAAGCTATGACGTCCGTGAACCACAGCCAGATACAATAGCCCTAAAGGTGCAGTAGTACGCACATGCCTTGGCGGTAACCAACAAATTGGACTTCAGTCCACTCAAGAAGAGGGAAACCATGCCTGACAGTGGCCACACAGCCAGCTACCCAGGGCTCTAGCCTTGGAGTTGTGGATCTTGGAGGAGACCCTAAACCTACCACCTTACTAAACCAGCATAACCCTAACTACACTCTAAGTGTTTCTCCATATACGCACAAGTCCGTGTAGTTCTCAGCCCTCATCAAGGAAAACTCTTTGCAACAGATGGAGACCCTTACAGAAAACCCCCAACCAATCAAAATGCGGAGTTGTGGAGCCCAATCCCAATGGGTGCATCTACAACATAACCCCTGCACCTGAGGCTCGGGGGTCATGGAGGAAGTGGGGTGGTGGCACAAAGACTGTAAGAGCCAGAGGGACAGGACATTTACTGTGAGATTCTGTCTCCTAGAAATGTCAGAGAAGCGACACCCAGGACCCCTCACCAACATGGCTGTCTGGACACAAGGATGACATCAAGAGACATGCTAACGTAGAAGGGGGTGCTCACAGGCACCCAACCCTAGACAACTAAGGAATGATGGGAGGAGAAACAGGCCTTTCCAGAGACGAGGACACTGATTGATTGTCCAACACAAATCACCTCTGAGACCATACACACGAGGAATGTTATACAGATGGAGCAGGGATAGTTATTAGAGTATCATATATTAAATATAATGGAATATAATAATGTTTGGGATATATTATACATATATATCTATATAAACATTACACCAGTTAAAATAAAGGTGAATTTGAGAAAAAGCAAAGAATTTGAGAAAGTACATGGGAGGAATTGGAGGGAGATAATATATTATAATCTCAGTATGTATAAAAGACTCGGACAGTTCTAAAGGGAGGGTTTTAAGTCTCAAGAAGTCCTAAATAGAAACACTCTATACAAAGAGGGACTCCTTAAGACTCAGGAAGTAAACAGGTCACCAGCCTCAGGGACCACTCTCTCATTCCCCAAGGTCACATGAACAGTAAGGGGTGGCGAAGAGGAGAGACTTTCCATCCCGTCCAGTTGCTTACGGGTCCTGCAGGGAGCTCCAGGCTTCAGTTTGTCACTGTGCTGGGGTGGACTTTGGTGATGCAGTCGTCCTGTTCCTGTAAGGGAACCCTTGCCCGTGGTCCTGTGAGTGATACTAATAAACTCTACAGTTCACCACGGTGGGCTTTGGCGGTATTGACTTTGGTCTGTTGTTGGTTCCCTATCTGGCACTATGTGTGCTCATGTCTCCCCAGGAACAGAGTCACATAACACCTTATCTCAAAATAAAAAGTGTCTCAGAGGTCGAACGCTGGTCTAGCCTGCACCAGCCCCTACAGTCAACCCTCAGTTCTGAGAAGAAAAAATTACCACTGGGCTGTCTTCCTAATGTCCTCTTTACATTGTCCAAGTTGTAAAATGTCGACAATGACTCACTTGTTAAACAAACACTCATTGCACATTTGCAATGCCATACATATTATCTTATTGAAATTTCAGACTTTGACAGCAACTCTTTAAGGTAGCTCTTATTAATCTCCATTTTGCTGAGAGGGCACTGAGGCTCAGAGGGGCAGTGACTCCCCTGTAGATCACCGGAGAGTCGCAGAGACTGGTGTGTGCCACATTGTCAGTGCTCTTCCAGTCGGGCTTCCTGCTGGTGACAGTTTTGCAGGGTCTGACCACGCCCTCCGCTAGGTCTAACGCCACACTTTAGGCCCCCTCAGTACTTACCTCTAAAGTAGACAAGGAAGGAGTAGATGCTTCCTGAGCTGATGGGAAGGTCTCAGCTGTACAGAAAGCAATACTGAGAGAATGAAGTATCTTGTACTTTTTCTTGTTTTCCTTTTGCTTTTTGTTTTTGTGGTTTTAGGGTTTCAAGGCCTTGTGCATGAGCCATCCTTAGTCTTTGTTTCCCTGACCCAGAAGGTCTCCCTAAATAGTCCCAACTGGCCTTGAACTCCAATCTCACACTCCCAAATGCTGGGGTAACAGACCTATGTCCCATGCGCAACAATCACAATACCATCGACAACTTCTTCTTCTCTTTCTCTTCCATCTTCATTGAATTTTCTGTGTAGCAAAACATGACCTTGAAACTCTTGAATTCACTTCCAGAGAGCTGGACTTCCAGGTGTGTCCACCTCCAGAGAGCTAGAATTCCAGATGTGTCAACCTCCAGAGAGCTAGAATTCCAAGGGTGTCCACCACACCCAATGTCTGAGGTGGTCCACTCAGAACCCAGAGTTTCATGAATGTTAGGCAGGTTTTAGTGTCAATTTGCCACAAATTAGAATCCCTGGAGTAGGAAGACTTATTTGAAGTTTTGTCCCCAGTCAGCCTGAGAGACTGCAGGACTAGGAAGCTACATTGGCTCTTTGTCCAGAACTTTTCTTAGCTGTCTCAGGCTCTGTGTTTGAGTATTTGAGCCCAACATTGGACGCCAGCTCACAAAAAAAAAAAAAAAAAAAAAGACACAGAGACTTATTATTAATTATGAAAGCTCAATCTATAGCTTATCCCACTAGCTCTTATAACTTAAATTAACCCATTCCTATTCTTCTATGCGTTACCTCTCCTCATGCATGTCTATTCCCTCTGTATTCACTGGTGACCCTACCTTTCTTCTTCCCAGAGCTCTCTCTGACCATAAGTCTCTGCTTTAACTCCTGCCTACCTATTGGTCATTTATCTTTCTATTGAACCAATCACAGTGACATATCATTACAGAGTGTAATCAAATATTTCACAACATTAGGTAGCAACCAGTAGATAGACCTTTGTCCCACCAGCCCAGCTCCCAAATAACCACTTAGAGATTTATTAATAATTATAATTTCTTGGCTGATATCTTAGGCGTGTTACTAAGTAGGTCTTACAACTTAAATTGACCCATATTTCTTATCTATGCTCTACCATATGGTGGTACCTTTTTTCAGCACAGCATGTTCATCTCCAGCTTCCTCTGCATTTGGCTGGGGACTCCACCCTCTTCGTCCCCATGCTCTATTTTTGTCTGTAAGTCCTGCCTAACCTCTGCCTGCCTAGCTATTAGCCATTTAGCCCTTTACTAAACCAATGAGAGCAACAAATATTCGTGGTGTCCAAAAAATTGTTCCACAGCGTTTCTCCCTCTTCGTCTAATTTAAAAGAAAGGTTTTAACTCTAACATAGTAAAATTATATACAACTAAGAACTATAGTTAGAATATCCAGTTCACTTAATTTGGCAAATATAGAGAATATAATCTATTATCTATTTTATTTTTGTGAGTCTATTTTATACCTAATTTACTTTTTATCATAACTAAGGAAAACTACAAATTTAACCATTTATTCTTTAACTCAATCAAAGACCCCAGAAAGATGTACTATTACCTAAGGACAGGGACATCTGGCTGCCTAGACAGACACCCAAATTTCCTCTGTAATGTTGGGGCAGTCATCTTTGGCCTATAGGCCTAGTATATCTAACCAACATTTC